TACCAAATTTGGATTTATGAACATTCATTGTTCCTTTCTCTCACGAAAAGAGCCTCATTTGTTGCACTGTTAGACCTTGCTCTCCTCATCTCCTCAGACAATAGAGCAGCTACAACGCCTTCAAAGGATAATGCACTGACACCAGTGCCAATCAAAACAATAATAAGTTCCCATGACCTCGATAGCGAACACAACAAAGTACATGCTTTATCTTCCTTATCCAAATTAACACTGATCGACACAAGTTGCCTGCAAATTATATTAAACTCGTTTAAGTGTACAAAAAAAGTATCACCTTCGCTTATCCGAAGGTTGTACAGTCGCTTCTGCAGAAATAGCCTATTTGCGAGCTATTTGCTTTGATAAAGGCATCCTAGCTTCGTTCACAGATCTTTCGCAGTCATTTCAGAGGTCACGTTCACCAGGAAGTTATCAACAAGATATAGCTAGATCAGGCTTTGTGCCCTCCGATCACTACTGTTCTATTCCTGCAATTCAGTGGACGTGGAGTCCTCGACTCATTCTCCTTCGACTTTCCCTTGGTATTCTCCTCAGGATCATCTTCGATCACGTGCCACATATCTCTATCCATGAGCAGAGCCTTTATGTTCAATTTCCATAACTCGAAACCCTTCCTCCAAACTTCTCTACTTCAATCCATGACTGACCAACCAACATCTTCGCAAGATTCGATTTTCTGGATATCTTTTCACCAAGAAACCCTAACATCAAACCTTGCTCTGATACTCGATGTTAGAAATCGATGCACAATCACAAAGAAATAGAGAGTAAAAGCGAGAAGAAATCGAGACACATGATTTTATCCTGATTCACCCTTAAACTAAGGCTATGTCCAGTAGATGATTCCATTATAATTAACATCTCACACCTCTTTGTTACATCTCTTAATTAGAAGAGAAAGAGAATATATATAAGTAATAATTTGATCCAAAATAGGAAACCTCTAGCTCTAGCTAGATTTAGTAAGAAAACGACGCATCAAATATACCTCGTTTGATGCAGAAGGCTTCTCGTACATGTTGGACAATGCCCCCATCAAATCCACTGTTGTTGTCTCATTGGCAATGTTGAAAGCAATGTTCCGCGCTAATGTGAGATGAATCACACCCAGAGCATCCTGATCAAACAATTCCCACTCTGCTTGTTCCATCAAATTTGGTTTCTCTCTTAACAGAGATTGAAACAAATTCTTCTGATACAATGAATTCTCGATCTGCATCTTCCATAATCCAAAATCCTTACCATCGAACCAATCAATCTTCACCTTCCCTTCGTCCATATCCATTGCTCCCACGATTTTGCTAAACTAGGCTTTGACACCAGTTGTTAGGAGCATGAATCTTTGAAGATAAAAATAGTGAAGAAAACAAGCGAATTTTTATGTGGAGAACCCTTTCAAAATTAGAAAGGAAAAAATCACGGTGTCGCACTAGGCAATCTCTCCACTATCGGTATCGGTATTAGCATTACAAGCTTTAGCGTTACAACTACAAAAGATATTGTCTCAATATATATAGCAGGAGTTTAAGGCATACATAATTATGATAAAAAAAAATTACATGTATGCCATTAGCAAGATGGGTGACCTCCTGGAAGCTGCCTGCCTACAACAACTGTTTCTGCGCTTGAATATTACTTTTCTCTATCAGACTCAACAACTCCATCATGCAGCTCATGGCACGCATGAAAACTCCCCTTCCCTCTCCTCCTATGCATCTGCCAAGCCCTTTGCGTTGTATTCCAAAGTCTGGTTTGAAGAATCGAGAACGATTCTTGAATCACGTGAGAGCAAAGTGCAATGCCGGTGAGTGGTGACTTGAGAAATTTGATGAAATCATGTTTTTGCTTAAAAGGATGAGCGAGGTGAAGTCTTTGCCTTATGCAATTTTATATGTAAATGAAAATGTGGGCATAGGGTTTTCGATTGGACCTAATAAGTCCCCATCTATTTTGGACAAGAAAAGGGCCAAATGATGCTGTTGTACACACTTTCGATGACATCTTTTCCGGCTGAGCCGCCTCAGACATTTTATATTAAATTAATGTCATGTCAGAATTTCAAACGGGGAAATCGCCGACATCATTCAAATGGACGTTTTTTAAAAGTTTTGGCACTAGCATTCAAATGAGTGCCGTATGAAAGTTATAACATTGTTAGTGTCCTCTTTCTACTTCTATCTATTTTCTTGTATGGTGTACATTGACATAAATAAAACACGGTAGACATTAGTTGGTATGTAATACTAGTCGATTTGATCGCATAATTTAAATCATGTAATTTCTTTTCTGAAATTCCATTGATATTTTTTTTGAGGAAACATGCTTTCATTGGCCTTATAGGCCTTAAAAAACGACTTTCAGTTTCAACCATTCTCTCACCGACCCATATTATTTCCTCATAATGAGTTGACGTGGCGGCCTTCTACGACTTTCAACCCTTTCATATTCACATATAAAAGGGATGATCCATTTTGAAATGCTATTTAGAAAAAAGATCCTAATTATTAAACCGCATTCCTAACCCCCTCCCATTTTTTAACGTATTAATTTTATGGTCATATGAAAATTCATAATTACCTACCTTAGGTCAGACATTGTATTTTTCTCTCCAATTCGAGTTGATAGCACATTGTGTTCCATTTCCTCACTCGGAAAAGAAAAGTGGGGGCGTTTCAATGACAACTATCGTGCACCTCCGTTCATACCTTCTATAGAGATAATCAAGAAATGAAAATCGAAGTGATTGTTAGTATGCATGTGTTACTTGTGGTAGAGAAGTCTTACATAAGAGAATTGATGTGATGTAGAACAGTTAATATTTCCAAGTTGACCCATAACAAATTAGCTTAAGCTTTTGAGTAAATGTGGGTCCAACTGGATATGTTGACGAACTTGGATTTGGGCTCACTCTTGGCGATCTCCCCAGATGAAGATATTGGGTTGCTGCTGCACACTCCCACAAAATGGTATCAAAGCCAATGGTTGATTGGTGGACCTTCAATCTGTTCCAGTGCTTGATGAATATCTCAAGGAAGGAATATGGTGACCGTTTTCGGGCAGGTTGGCATTATGGTGTAGCAACGCGGGCCCGATGGCAAACTTCATGGTTCGGTTCGGAGAAAGAGACCATGGATGAAGTTAGGCGTTGATGGGGATTCAAGTTGAGATATTTTTATGTAAAAGGATACCTGGATTAAGGGGAAGCAAACCTAATACTGAGCTCACACATGAGGAGAAGATTGTTGGGATGCTAGAGAAGTCCCACATCGAAGAATTGGTGTGGTGCGGAGCAGTTAATATATCCAAGTTGACCCATAACTTATTGGTTTAAGTTTTTGAGTGAAGGTGGGTCTAACTAGATATGTTGACGGGCTCGGACTAGGACTTCCTCAAGGTGATCTCCTCGGATGAAGATATCAGACGTCTGCTACACGCTCCCAACAGTGATACAGAGAGTGAGTAAATTGGTGTCAACCCATGGTTCATTTGAACAGTTCCCGACTTCTTGAAACGAAATCAAAGACTTGCTTGTTGATTTTAGTTGAGTTGACATCCAAAATTGCCCAAGTCTTGGGCCTTTGATTCAAATTGGAGAAGACTGAGCAAGACATGGCGAAGGTGAAATTTGCTAAATCCTTTTGGTCCGCAACTACAGGAAATCGACAAAGGCAATGAACAATTGCCGATAGGCAACATAAGAGAAAATTACTAAGTATAGAGTCACCAGATGTTGGTAAGTGAAACTCAGCTGAAACAAAGACCGACTAATTTGGAACGAGATAAATGTTCAAGTTATAATGCCGACTATTTCAGCTAAAATTATGATGACCCAATCAATTGTGAAGCCAATACAATCACCGATTCATGGAGTCATGAATATCGAAAGCCACCAATGATAATGGCCGAGAAACATGGGTCGCTGTAACCATTAAGAAGAGACATTGAAACTTGTGGAAGAAACCGTCGATGTGGGGCAAGTGATGAGGCCATGATCGTCAACTAGTGAAATTTTAGTAAGCATTTGTAAATACTATCGAATCTATTATAAAATCATCGAATTTTCTTCGACATGAAATGAAAAAAACTCATTTCTGAAAGAGATAACAATAACAAACAAACTATATGGAAGGAGGCAAATGTATGAATTAAGAAAGTTTGATTCCTTGGCTTCCGCCCATGGGGCCTCCAACTGGGTGCAGGACAGTCGATATAAATGACATAAGACGGATAGATGGGAGCGGTGAAGAGGATAGAGATAGAATAACGTTTATTTCCTGGGCTTCCGCACATGGGTCCGCTTGAGTCGGGCTTTGTTAGCTTAAATAGCTATATTTTTAATCGTTTGGTGAAGCGGCAACAGCAACCGCATCCAAAATGGCCCTTCTGGGATCCGCTCCCCTCAATAGCATGTAGAACTATTTTATGAAACAAGAAACGAAAGGTTCCGTGGTCGGTTCAGTACCGGTTCTACCTGGACCGGGTCTCCGGTAGAACTGACTGCGCAGATGATACAATAGGGAAGGTTTAACCGGGACCTCCCCCCTACTTTTGAATATCTATGTTTGAAGGGCACTTATGGACGTATTAGAGTATAAAGAAAGGGGAAGACGAATTGAAAAAACAAAATTCGGAAGAATAGAGTTGCCATGAGTGCAAATCGCATCCCCACACCAGTTAGACGACCAACTCGTGCCAAAGGCTGGGCAATTTTGGCCTTTTCCTAACTTCGGTTCCGTCAGCCACTTCATTAATTTTTTTTCTCTCTCTCTTTTTACGGTCTTCGTCCTCAAAAATTAGGACTATCTGTTTCAACCACCAATTTCTCATTGACCCATAGCATTTCATTGGTTTCCTATCATTTCCTCAATTCCTGTGAACAGGGCCTCTTTCTCTGTTACGAACGTGGAAACGTCTTCAGATCTACATCTCACAAAGAATGAGAGACAGAGACGGAGACAGGAGCTAAGCAAACTACTCCTATGGCAAGCTCAGCTGCAGGAACTTCATTGGGAAGCGAGTACCAAGTGTTCCTGAGCTTCAGAGGACCCGACACTCGCGAGGGATTCACCGATGTCCTCTTCCATAACCTGACTGATGCTGGAATCTGCATATTCCGAGATGACGAAGAGCTCCGTGTCGGTGAAAGGATCGATGGATTGCTTCAGCAAGCCATTGACAACTCTAAGATCTACATACCCGTCTTCTCTCGGACCTACGCTGCGAGCCAATGGTGCCTCCGTGAGCTTGCACAGATCGTGGAAAACACCTCTAGATCGGAAGGTAATAAAGAGATCTTACCGATTTTCGTCGATGTGGAACCTGATGATGTTAAGCTGAAAACTCCGTTGTATCACAATGCCATACTCACTCTTAAGCTCAATAAGAAGTTGAGCAATGAGCAAGTGGATGCGTGTAGAATGGCTCTCAAGGAGGTTGGTGCAATAAAGGGGCGGGAAGTGAAGAAGTACAACGGGTAAGCTCGCTGCTAGCTGCTTTCAAGATGCTTGTTTCCCCAATGATATTAACACTCGATCATAGACGTAAAAATTCCCGCATGATTGAGACCTGGTTTTTATTATAGTAATATTAAATGATAATGGGCAAACAATTGTATTAATAGCCACGCAAAAAAATGCGAAACTGCTTCACAAGGTCGTCTTATATGATGGGTGAATAATGATATTCAGAGCTAGGTAACTAAATTAATATTAGATTGTGGACATTGGGAGGAAAAAGAATGGGATAATGAAATGCCATGCATTGTTTTCATCTAATCATTTAATATTTCAATACGTTAAACATTTCTCCTCTTGAAAACCCAATATCCAGTGCTTGAATTGCATCACTTCTAGCTAGGTAGTCATGAGTTCGCTTTTTTCCCCCACTAAAATGTTTTTCCATTGTGGCAGCCACGGCAAACTAATCAAATTAGTAGTCGAGGAGGTCGTGGAAAAGCTAAAGACAAAACATAGATTGGTGACTGAACATTTAGTTGGAATTGATGATCAAGTGGTAGCGGTAAGCAAATTGTTAGACATCAACTCTGGTGATGTGTGGCTCATTCAAATTCATGGCATGGGGGGTATTGGAAAAACTACTCTCGCTAGAGTTGTCTTCAACCAATTCTCTTCTCATTTTGGAAAGTGTTGTTGTTTCCTTGAAGATGTTCGAGCAAAGTCATCAAGAACTGATGGCTTAGTTGAGTTGCAGAAAAAGTTATTATGCGAAATTGGCCATCCTATGGGAACAAGGATCATCAACGAGATTGATTATGGAATGGGGAGGATTGGAGAAGTACTACGCAATAAGAAAGTGCTCATTGTACTTGATGATGTTGATAACAACGAACAAGTGGTTAAATTAGTGGGAAAGAGTACTTTGTGTTCAGGATCTAGAATATTGATTACAACTAGAAATAAAGATGTTGTGCAAATCCATAGACCAAAGTATCCAATTTTAGACTATGAAATGGAGGTGATGAGTACTAATCATGCCCTTGAGCTTTTCAGTAAGCATGCATTTAATGGAGACTCTCCTTTATATGATTACTGTGATCTCTCAAGGGAAATAGTATCTATTACTGGGAGACTTCCGTTGGCTCTTGAAGTAATTGGCTCCCTCCTCTACCATAAAAGAACACAAGAACAATGGGAAAGGACATTGAAGGAGTTGAGAAAAGCACCTCATCCTGATGTTTTTGGAAAGTTGAAGATCAGCTATGATGCTTTAAGTTTTGAGCAGCAACAAATTTTCCTCGATATTGCATTTTTTTTCATTGGCGAGGATAAGACGAATGCAATTTACATGTGGGAAGATTGTGGACTTCTCCGAGATGATGGGGTTGACATCCTCAATAGCATGTGCTTGATAAAAATTGTAGGAAATGATAAATTTTGGATGCACAATCAACTCAGAGATCTTGGAAGAGAAATCGTTCAAAAAGAAAATCAAATAAATCCTGGAAAGCTTAGTAGGTTATGGATTCACAAAGACAACCTTGATACAATAACCACGGAAGAGGTGAAGTGCCTTAGGAGTAAACTAATAGTTTCTCTACTAAAAGAATCCTCTACTTTGCACTAGGATGATCTTTTCTATTTCTTCTTTTTCCCATTTTAATCCTTTCCTCTGAAATTCAATACCGACTGCCACTCATTTCGTACTCTCATATGCAGATGAAGAAGAACGTTCAAACACTGGATATTGATCTGCGCAAAAGTGATCTTAAGGACATTAAAAGTGAAGAGATTGGAAGGTTTGAAAATCTAAGGTGCCTTAAATTAAAGGGGGGAACCTTTGTTGGTAACTTTGCGAATTGTCTTACCAAATTAAGATGGATTTTTTGGAGTCATCCTCCTCCAACGTCTAATTCAACCAATATGCACTTCAAGAATGTGGTCGTTCTTCAAATTTCGTACCATGACTTCATGGATGATTCCATGCTACAAAGATTAATCGAGGTGTGTAATATGCTTATTTCTTTCTTATGTTCCTTGAAAGTAATATTTGACTGTTGAGTGTTTGAATATTCTATTCTTTTCAACAGATGGCAATAAAATTGAAAGTACTATGTGTTGAAAGTTGTCCCAGCGTAACCAGAACACCAGATTTCTCTGGATGTCTGAAATTAGAGAGGCTTAGTTTCAACAGTTGTCGGAATTTGAGGAAAATTGACTGCTCAATTGGGAAGTTGAAGTGTCTGACTGACTTGAGGATAGTTAATTGCTATGATCTCGGAGATTTGCCCAAAGAAATCGGTGGCCTAGTGAATTTGAAACACTTCTTTTTACAGTATTGTAAAGTGACAAAACTCCCAGATTCCATATGGAAGTTGAAGTCATTACGCGAGGTGCACTTTTTAGGTTACATTTATTCTGGTATTGATCCAACAAATTCTTGGGAGTTACCTAGTGCTATTGGAATGCTTCAAAATTTGGAAGTGCTCCTTATCAATAATGAGTGTTTGAAAGGTCAACTTCCTTATGGAATCGGAAATTTGCCCTCTCTTAGAATCCTAGATCTATCATTTACTAGGGTTAGTGAGGTTCCAAAGACCGTTGGCTTGCTTCCTCGCCTGCAAAGATTGGAATTGAGGGGATGTCATGAGATTCAAGAGGTACCGGCGCTCCCAACAAGTTTGACCCAGCTAATAGTGTCATCTAAATCGTTGCGGGTAGTCTCGGATCTCTCAAACTTGACTAATTTGGTTGAGTTGAATCTAAGTGACGGAGGAGGAGGACATTGTGTAGGTGAGTTACGGGGGTTTGGGAGATTATCCAAACTGACTAAATTGAGGTTAGGACTCCACAATGTCCCTACTTTTAAGGAGCTGGCTTCCCTTCATCTGCTAAAGGAACTTTATTTATTTGGACTGGACCAGCAAACCTTTCCACAACTTCCCTTGTCTCTGCAAAAGCTTGGCCTTAATAGCTTCAATTCAGTTATGTCAGCCTTTCCAAACCTGAGAGATTTGTTATTCTTAGAGCTCTATGAGTCTCCAATGCAAGAATTTCAGCTCGATGGGCTTCAACTTCCCCATCTAAGGGACTTGGCTGTGCAACTCTGCGAACCCCTTGAGAGATTTAGGCTGTCAAACATGAGGAAGCTGACACGTTTCACAGTGAGCGATTGTCCAAAGCTAGCGGAGATTCAATTTTCTTGGCCATTCGAATTTATGGAGCAATTGAGTATTATATGGTGCGAGTCCTTGGAAAGGCTGGTTTATGCGGAGGAATCAAGGCATGATAATAATGAATCTGTTAAGGAGATGATTACTCGTGATGGGAGACTAATCCTCCCATCGAAATCCTTAAAAAAGTTGCAAATTTTCAAGCTGGCAAAGTGCAGAAAGATATTCGAGATTCATGTCGTCGGTACGTCGGAGTTGTGGGAAGTCTTCCACGTTATGGGTTGTCCTCTGCTGCAAAGTGTTCATGGTTTACCAAACTTAAAGAACCTAGAGTCTTTATCAATTTGCTACTGCAAAGGCCTACAGGTTGTCGAGGGCCTCGATGAGCTGGAGTTTTTGAACCAGTTAGATGTTAACAATTGCAAATCTTTGAAAAGGTTGATTGACATATCAACCACCAAATTGCCAAATGATTGCCACATAAATATCTCCGATTGCAAGAAATTATGTGGGGTTAAGAAAGGATTCGAGGGCTCCGTCCTGTCTTTCAAGCATTATAAGGTGAGTCTAGACCATTCTCTCTCTTTTCTCTTTGGTCTTGATGCAACTGTCCAGTATCCACAAACATGAATTCAACCTTTTAAGCAGATTTGTAATAATTGTGGGAAATCGGAAAAACATTAATTAAATCCGGACTCACTTATTATAAAACTCACTCTACACGGGTTTATTTTATTCTGCGCTCGTGTTTTCTCTTCTTCTTTTTTCTGTTTTCCGTTTTCTTTCCTATTTTGTATATAAGAAATTTCTATATTGGCACAAGCCTATGCGGGATAAGGTCAGTTTTTATCACAAATGATTGAAAAACTTCAATGTGGAGAAGAAATATATAGACTAGCTCAGAATTTCTTATTAAAATGCTCTTTTTGTTATATATGTAGTGGATTATTTATTTTAGCGTATTTTTTTGCGTAATATACTCCACTTTATTTTCCATTTCTTACTTAACAATATTATTATGGAGATGAGTTTGGTGATTTGCAATTGGGTTTTGCTAGCATAACAGTATTTTGGCTACTGTTAGAATAACATAATATTGTGAGCCACAAATTCTTCAAGGAGTAGATCCACTACAATTTCTAATTATTTGTTATTTATTTTTTTGTGACTCAAAATAAGCTGTTATTCTCATAGTAGATTAAAGACCGCACATAAGCATTTCCCTTTGCAATTTGTACCACGAAGATAGAACATTAAAATAATCAATTACTCATCGCACAATTCAAAACAATCTTGCTAACGGAGGAGGTGTTTCAAGAACATTGTTTATATGGTCCCCCTATCCACTAATCAAGTGATGTCCGTGATGGAATTGAGTGTAAATCGAATTTGCATGTGGTTGGGGTTTTCCAAGTAGGGTGTGTGTTCCAAAAGCACCTAAAATACTTATTTAAGACTTTACAGTTTGATTAGAGGCCACTTCAAACAGGAACAGGAACAGGAACAAAAACATATTTGGGCAAAATTCTTCGATCAGGAACAGGAAAGCGACTACGAACTGGAACAGGAAAGCGACTGCGACCAGGAAAAAATACAGGAAATCCTCTGGGAACTATTCCTCGAACAGAAACAGGAAAGTGAATTCGAACTGGAACAGAAGAGAGTCTTCGACCGCGGGTTCCAACAGGAACGGGAAGGCGACTTCGAATTGGAACAGAAAAAAAAACAGAAAATCCTATGGGAATTATTCTTCAAACGGAAACAGAAAAGTGACTTCGAACTGGAACAGCAGAGAAACTTCGAACGCAAGTTCCAACAGGAACGGGAAGGCGACT